AGGCACCGCGCGGACCAGCGGGACATCGCAGTCCACTGGGGGCGGCTGTGGGCATCCTGCGTCCTGCGCGATGATGCGGAAAACAGCGCCCAGCGTTCGAGGGCTGGGCTTGTGTCCTGCGGCCGAGTGAGTGATTGCTTGACACCGCGCGGACCCGAGCGTGACCTCGCCGTCCCTGGGGGCTGGATTATCTGCGAAACTGTCGCCACCTTCGGGGCTGCTGGTGGGTTCCTGCGGAGTGGGGCGTTGGTGAGCAACGGCCGCAGCAACCTGAGCGGGACCTCGCCGTCACCCTCGGGGGGGACTGCGATCCTCTGCGAAACTTCGCGATTTTCGATGTTGTGTGGTGGGGTCATGCGGGCGAGCGGGCGTTGAGGCACCGCGCATGTCTGAGCGGCAGCTCGCCGTCCCTGGGGGGCTGCGATCTGCGAAACTGTCGCCAATTTTCAAGGTCTGCTGGTGGGCCAGCGGAGTGAGGCACCGCGAAGACCTGAGCGGCAGCTCGCCGTTCCTGTGGGGCTGCGATCTGAGAAATTGTCGCCAATTTTCGAGGGCTGCTGGTGGGTCCAGCGGAGTGAGGCACCGCGCATGTCTGAGCAGTAGCTCGCCGTCCTTGGGGGGCTGCGATCTGAGAAACTGTCGCCGTTTTCGAGGGCTGCGCGGACCTGAGCGGGACCTCGCCGTCCCTGGGGGGCTGCGATCTGCGAAACTGTCGCCACTGTCGGGGGCTGCTGGTGGGTCCCGCGGAGTGAGGCACCGCGCGGACCTGAGCGGGACCTCGCCGTCCCTGGGGGCTGCGATCTGCAAAACTGTCGCCACTTTCGAGGGCTGCTGGTGGGTCCTGCGGGGTGAGGCACCGCGCGGACCTGAGCGGGACCTCGCCGTCCCTGTGTGCATGGCGCTGTTGCGCTCTGCGAAACTGTCGCCATTTTCGAGGGCTGCTGGGGGTCTGCAGGGTGGGGCACCCGCGCGAGACCTGATGCGGGACCTCGCCGTCCCTGGGGGGCTGCGATCTGCGAAACTGTCGCCACTTTCGAGGGCTGCTGGTGGGTCCTGCGGAGTGAGGTACCGCGCGGACCTGAGCGGGCTGCGATCTGCGAACCTGCTGCGATTTTCCATGGCTGCTGGTGGGTCCTTCGGAGTGAGGCACCGCGCAGGTCTGAGCGGGACCTCGCCGTCCCTGGGTGGCTGCGATCTGCGAAACTGTCGCCGCTTTCGAGGGCTGCTGGTGGGTCTTGCGGAGTGAGGCACCGCGCGGGCCTGAGCGGTACATCGCCGTCCCTGGGGGGCTGCGATCTGCGACACTGTCGCCACTTTCGAGGGCTGCTGGTGGGTCCTGCGGGGTGAGGCGCAGCGGGGGTCTGAACGAGACCACGCCGTCCTTGAGGGCCTGCGATCTGCGACGCTGTCGCCACTTTCTAGGGCTGCTGGTGGGTCGGTCCTGCGGAGTGGGGCACCGTTGGGATCTGAGCGGGGCCTCGCCGTCCCTGGGGGGCTGCGATCTGCGAAATTTTCGACACTTGCGAGGGCTGCTGGTGGGTCCTGCGGAGTGAGGCACCGCGCGGATCTGAGCGGGACCTCGCCGTCCCTGGGGGGCTGCGATCTGCGAAGCTGTCGCCACTTTCGAGGGCTGCTGGTGGGTCCTGCGGAGTGAGGCGCCGCCTCGCCGTCCCTGGGGGGCTGCGATCTGCGACACTGTCGCCACTTTCGAGGGCTGCTGGTGGGTCCTGCGGAGTGAGGCACCGCGCGGATCTGAGCGGGACCTCGCCGTCCCTGGGTGGCTGCGATCTGCGAACCTGTCGCCACTTTCGAGGGCCGCTGGTGGGTCCAGCGGAGCGAGGCACCAGGCAGATCTGAGCGGGACATCGCTATCCTTGGGGGGCTGCGAGCCTCACGAAGGCTGGTCGCAGAAGTATATGCGCCCATGTCACGTCATCACCTCCGTACAACGTCCCCCAAGCTACTCATGCCCCGCATTGCGCAGGGGTTGGGTACATCGCCAGTTTTTTTTGTCTCTCGGTTTAAAGCTTTCATGACACTTCTTGGTTGGGTATTCGTTTTGGATAGAGCACCGCGGTCGCGTCTCCCTCCTCCGCCTCCTCCCGCCTCCCGCCTCCTGCCTCCCGCCTCCCGCCCCCCTCCTTCTTGTCTCTTCTTGCCTTGCTTGGGGGGCTGCGATCTGCGAAACTGTCGCCACATTCGAGGGCTGCTGGTGGGTATTGCGGAGAGAGGCACCGCGCGGACCTGAGCGGGACCTCACCGTCCCTGGGGGCTGCGATCTGCGAAACTGTCGCGATTTTCGAGGGCTGCTTGGGGGGTCCAGCGGAGTGAGGCACCGCGCGGGCCTGAGCGGTACATCGCAAACGTCCTTGGGGGGCTGCGATCTGCGAAGCTGTCGCCACTTTCGAAGGCTGCTGGTGGGCCCAGAGGAGTGAGGCACCGCGGGGATCTGAGCGGGACCTCGCCGCCCCTGGGGGGCTGCGATCTGCGAAACTGTCGCTACTTTCGAGGGCTGCTGGTGGGTCCTGCGGAGTGAGGCACCGCGGGGATCTGAGCGGGACCTCGCCGCCCCTGGGGGGCTGCGATCTGCGACATTGTCGCCACTTTCGAGGGCTGCTGGTGGGTCCAGCGGACCTGCGGAGTGAGGCACCGCGCAGGTCTGAGCGGGACCTCGCCGTCCCTGGGGGGTTGCGATCTGCGGCATCGTCGCCACTTTCGAGGGCTGCTGGTGGGTCCTGCGGAGTGGGGCACCGCGCAGATCTGAGCGGGACCTCGCCGTCCCTGGAGGGCTGCGATCTTCGAACTTGTCGCGATTTTCGAGGGCTGCTGGTGGGTCCAGCGGACCTGCGGAGTGAGGCACCGCGCAGGTCTGAGCGGGACCTCGCCGTCCCTGGGGGGCTGCGATCTGCGAAACTGTCGCCACTGTCGGGGGCTGCTGGTGGGTCCCGCGGAGTGAGGCACCGCGCGGACCTGAGCGGGACCTCGCCGTCCCTGGGGGGCTGCGATCTTCGAAATTGTTGCGATTTTCGAGGGCTGCTGGTGGGTCCTGCGGAGTGAGGCACCGCGCAGATCAGAGCGGGACCTCGCTGCCCCTGGGGGGCTGCGATCTGCGAAGCTGTCGCCACTTTCGAGGGCTGCTGGTGGGTCCAGCGGAGTGAGGCACCGCGCAGATCTGAGCGGGACCTCGCCGTCCCTGAGGGGCTGCGATCTGCGAACCTGTCGCCACGTTCGAGGGCTGCTGGTGGGTCCAGCGGGGTGAGGCACCGCGCAGACCTGAGCGGGACCTCGCCGCCCCTGGGGGGCTGCGATCTGCGAAACTGTCGCGATTTGCGAGGGCTGCTGGTGGGTCCAGCGGAGTGAGGCACCGCGCATATCTGAGCGGGACCTCGCCGCCCCTGGGGGGCTGCGATCTGCGAAACTGTCGCGATTTGTGCGAGGGCTGCTGGTGGGTCCTACGGAGTGAGGCACCGCGCAGATCTGAGCGGGACCTGACCTCGCCGTCCCTGGGGGGCCTGCGTTCTGCGAAATTGTCGCCACTCTTTGGGGCTGCTGGTGGGTCCAGCGGAGTGAGGCACCGCGCAGATCTGAGCGGGACTTCGCCGTCCTTGGGGGGCTTGGATTTGCGAATCCGTTGCCACTTTCGAGGGCTGCCTGGGGGACCAGCATAGCGATCTGCGAAACTGTCACCGCTTTCGAGGGCTGCTGGTGCGCAGATCTGAGCGGGACATCGCCGTCCCTGGGGGGCTGCGATCTGCGAAACCGTCGCCACTTTCGAGGGCTGCTGGTGGGTCCAGCGGAGTGAGGCGCCGCGGGGATCTGAGCGGGACCTCGCCGCCCTTGGGGGGCTGCGATCTGCGAACCTGTCGCGATTTGCGAGGGCTGCTGGTGGGTCCAGCGGAGTGAGGCACCGCGCAGATCTGAGCGGGACCTCGCCGTCCCTGGGGGGTGCGGTCTGTGAAGTTGTCGCCAATTTGCGAGGGCTGCTGTTGGGTCCAGCGGGGTGAGGCACCGCGCATATCTGAGCGGGACCTGACCTCGCCGTCCTTGGGGGGCCTGCGTTCTGCGAAATGGTCGCCACTTTTTGGGGCTGCTGGTGGGTCCAGCGGAGTGAGGCACCGCGCAGATCTGAGCGGGACTTCGCCGTCCCTGGGGGGCTTGGATTTGCGAAACCGTTGCCACTTTCGAGGGCTGCGTGGGGGACCAGCGTAGCGATCTGCGAATCTGTCACCGCTTTCGAGGGCTGCTGGTGGGTCCAGCGGGGTGAGGCACCGCGCAGATCTGAGCGGGACCTCGCCGTCCCTGGGGGGCTGCGATCTGCGAAACCGTCGCCACTTTCGAGGGCTGCTGGTGGGTCCAGCGGAGTGAGGCACCGCGGGGATCTGAGCGGGACCTCGCCGTCCCTGGGGGACTGCGATCTGCGAAACCGTCGCCACTTTCGAGGGATGCTTGGTGGGCCCAACGGAGTGAGGCACCATGCAGATCTCAGCAGGACCTTGCAATCCTTGGGGGCTGCGAGCTTCACTTGTGCAGCTCGCAGGCGTATGTGCGCCCATGTCACGTCATCACTTCCGTATAACGTCTCCCAAGCTACTCATGCCCCGCATTGCGCAGGGGTTGGGCACGTCGCCAGGGTAATTCCAGTTTTTCGCTCAACGTCCGCCTGTAGGGGGACATGCCTGACCTAAGAGCTGTCTCCGAAGACGCAGAAAGCTCATGAAGAAGGCTCGAGGGCTTCTGAAAAGCCCCGCCGCCTTCTGAGAAGGCCTGCCTGCCCCGCCGCACGGCTCGTAACTTCAGTTTTTCTCATCGATTTGTTTTTTCGTCTCTGGGCACATTCCTACCTGCCAGGTGTCACATGCCATTTTTTGGTGTCGACCGGGGGGAACACTTCGCGAGGTATTCCGTGAGACCGACAAGTTGCTGGATCACCTCGAGCATGCAGCGTTTGATGATTCGCTGGAGGGAAAATTCTCTCTGCCCCCCGTGCTCGCTGCCGAGAGGAGATAGCGGGCTTCTACTCGCGCTACCCGCACCAGAGCTGGAAGAACGTCATCAGCATCGGTGACTCCACCTGCGAGCGGCAGGCCGCGCGCAAGGTTCGGGAGGGGGAGTCGGCACAGTCGCGGAAAAGCGGTGTTTTTCTCATGGGATATTGCGGGGAGAGAGGTGGGCAATGGATGGGGAGTGAGACCACCCAGAGAGCATGGAGGCTTCTGTGGGCGCGTGGAACCTGTGTCGATCTGTGCCTCCCGGGGCCCTTTTCTTTGAAGGTGGTGCCCCTGCGCCCGAGCGCCGAGCAGAAATGCCGCGTCAAGACGATGAAACTGCTCGAGGAGCCGGGGCTCGAAGACCTGACTGTGCAGGTGCGGGCGATCTGCAAGATCATCAAGGCGATGGTCCAGCACGACGGCGACCTGGACATCGAGCTCGGCGCCGAGGATCTGCACGACGACGCATCGCTCGAGGGGGCCGTCACTCCGACCTCGTCCGCTGACCTGGTCAAGTGGCCGTGAGCTCCGCTCCCGAGCCAGGGCCCGGGGGTGCGCGTGGGAATCGCCACTTCTCCCTCCTCGTTTGCCTCGATCGTCTCTCGGAGAGGGGCGGCGCGCCGAGGGGAAGGGGGAGGAGGGCGGAGGGGGCGGGCCCTCTCGGGAGGCTCAGGCGGCCTCCGACCTTCGAGAGGAGCTGCATCCCCTGGCGAGCGCTTTCTCGGTTTGGCTTCAACTGGGTGATTCGAGGGTGTCCACTGGTCCTCCTCCTCCTCCTCCTCCTCTTCCCAGCCAGTTGGGATCCGACTTTCGAGGGTGTCTCATCGCGGCGCACTTCTCCGAATGGTGGGCCGCGACCAGTAGTTCCCTCCGAGTACTGGGCCGCGGTCGGCCAGAGAGTAGTGGGACGCGGTTCTTCATCGAAGACGCCTACGGCGAACCATCGCCGCCCTTTGCCTTTTGGGAGCGCCCATGTGGCCGAACGTTGTGACCAGATCTCGGTCAAGCTATCGGACCATGTGTTCCCCCAGCCGTTCTGGAAGCGCTTCGGGGAACACGTCGGGCAGAATGAAGAAAAGGATATCTCTTCGGTCCTCCTTGATGCTCTCTCGGAGGCCTTTTGGGGGCCTCTCAGGCCGTCTTGGGTTATCTTAGGGCCATCTTGGGCCGTTTCGTGTGCATCTTGGGCCGTCTGAGGAACATCTTGCGGTCATTTCAGACGTCTTGGAGGCATCGTGGAGGCCATCTTCAGCCTTCTTGGCCGTCTTGGAACGGGGAGACCGATGACCTGGGAAGTTTCCGGGTCCTTATGGGGCGCCTTTTCAGGCCATCTTGGGGCCGTCTGGAGCGGCGAGACCGACGGCTTCGGAAGTTTATGGGTCCTTCAGGGTGGGAAGACCGATCAACCGAGAAGTTTGCCACATTTCCGGGTGTCTGGCGTAATCGGCCGACGGCCCTTGGGAACATTTAAAAAGGACCAGCACATACATAGTCTGGCACGCCGCGTGCCCCTGTGGCAAGCCAGCGGGGGGGGCGGCGGATCGTCGACGCCTACGGCGAATCACCGCCGTCCCCTGCTTTTTGAAAGCGCCCATGTGGCCAAACGTTGTGCCGAAGTCTGGCCAAACTGTTGGACTATGGGTAGTTTGAAGGAACGTTCCGAGGGGGGGCGGATACATAGCTTGCTTTGCCCGCCGCCACCTTCGCTCAAGGCGGCGCAGCCCAATCTGTCCGTATCGCCTGCACGACGCATGATTTGCGGCGGTGGACTGGAAAGAGGCATCTTCCCTGTCCCATCGCCCATCGCCACCATTGCCACCGCACCCTTCGAAAATGGCAAACGCCAGTGCGACTTGGTAGCGGAGCTGTCAAACCTTCGGCAGTTCTGCTTGCCTCCGCCATCGGCTGTCGGACGATCAACATGACTTACTCCGATCACCCACATCCATGTACGTCGAAGCGGAGGTGGCCAGGAGGACAAGAGCATGATGGACACATTCCTGGGCGTCAACATGACCGCCACCAACAAGTACAACGCTGCTAGTGGGACTCCACCTGCCACTACCCGGGTCATACGCGCGCGAGGAGATTCGACCGAATGTCCACGGGCCGTCCCATCTATTCCGACATCTACCCAGACAAGTTCTACTTGAACAGCACCAAGTTCTACAAGCGCGCGAGGAACCCCGGCCGCTACTTCAACGACCTTGAGCTCCACCGCAGCTTCTCCAACTACAACGTCGTCAACCCTACCATTCACGATGCGCGAGCGCGGGGCCGCGACCGACAGCCACGTTGCCAGGAATGAGGAGCGCCGGCTTGCGAACATCCGTCAATTTCCAGATGCCCGTGGGCGCGCGGCCGGTGCCCCCGCGTCAACCACTGCATCCAACGTCTTCTCTTTTCCGGCTTCATTATTTGAGCCTCGCCATCTTCGGGTTCTAGCCCGTGCCCATGAGCGTTATCATCGGCCCGCGTGATGAGAGAGCGCGAGGGCAACCAGACGAAGGGGTCCTTTCTGGGACACTGTTGAGGATGTGCTTTACCGCGCGTGGATTCGAGAAGTGCGCGGGTTGCTCAACGTCCGTTTTGGGTGAAGGACGTCACCCCGTCAAGTGGGTGCCCTTCGGCGTCTCTTCCAAGGCTTGGCAGGGGGCGTCGCCGCGAGGGCCCCGTCGGGCGAGGTCATATTCGGGGCCGATGTATACGGAGTTAGGGTGGATTCAGTGACGCATTTGTCGTGCCATTTTTTTGCGCAGTAGTTCGAAAGTTCGGAAGGCGAGCACCAGCGGCAGCAAGGGCTGGAGTTGATGGATAATGAACGCATCGATGGCGTTTCTGGACGATGGGGAACTGCTCGCGTGGAGGCTGGGGCAGCAGAATTCGGACTGGACCAACCCCAAACTGTGCTCGCAACTCTTGTCAGAGCCCGACGAGTTCCACCGCGCGAGGCATCGTCGTTCCCCCCGCCGCCCAGCCGCGCGATGCCGCGCGCCCAGCAAGAATGCGACCGACAGCTGGAGGCAATCCGCCGACGACGGCACATAGTTGAGCGCTTGCCAGGTAACATCGCCCAGCTCGTGGGCGGTCCAGAGGGAGCGACGTGCGCCTTGCAGACGCTGCGTTCCTTCTTGGAGGTGGTGCCCGAGCAGGCGCGCGAGCTCAACCCAGGCCCCCGGCGTCGGGCTCATGGGTGAACGCTTCGCGCGGCACTCAAGGCCCCGCGGGGAACTTTTCCACCAGGGCGCCACCTGCTGCGGCAGCGGCAGCAACGGCGCCACCTGCTGCGATTCTTGGGGGGGGGGGGGGGGGGATGTATGGGGGAAGCTTCGACGCGATCTCCTCCGTCCGCGAGACAAACTACACTGGGGTGATGTTGCATGCCTGCCCGGAGCTCAACGTGCTCAGGAGTTATCCTACATTAAGCAGCGCCGCAGAACAGCTGGAGACTCGGCGGGCAAAAACCTTTGCGACGAGGTCGCAGGATCATGAAACGGGCCCTGAAAGGGGTGGTGCAGGAGGGCGAGGGGGCCGCCGACGACTCACTGGTAAAGGCAGTCAGACCTACGTCGCAGCCCTCGACGACGCTGCCTACAGTGAGCTATTCTTTGGAGGCCGTGGCAGAGGCCGCGGCAATGATTCTCGACGCCGTCGACGATCACCAGGCAAAGGGGAAGGGCGATGTCGTGGCTTGCCGGCAAGGGCGGCAAGAGCATGACATGCCACGTACGTGGGCCCATCCAGCATCTCGCCCGAGATTGTGCGCCACCTGGGGGGCGCGGAGCTCCCCCGGAGAACGCCCTGCTCACTGCTACTGTTGACTATGTGGATTCGATTGAGTTCAACCCGCAGGGGCAGCTCTACTTTGCGGAGGCAACCGAGCAGCGCCCCTACGTGGTTATCGAACAAGATATGGAGCAGTACAACAATCACCAGAAGTACTCCATCAACGACTCTCTCGAGGGAACACGACCCAATCATCGCGGATCAGGCGACGCTGTGGCGCCGCTGCCATCATCCTTGACAGCTGATGCCGAACATGTGCATGGGATGGAGTATGAGATCGTCGACGACCGCGATGACATGCCATTTTCAAACGCAGCGTCATTTTTCGACCAATATTCGGGCCTGCTGCGCTCTCCTTGCATCTGGCTACCAGCCCAGCGTTCGTGTCTGCACCATTCAGGCATGCAGGTACCTGCCGTGCATGACGAACAGCTACCTGATGGGCCTCGACGTCGATGCAGCGGAGCGCCTAGCATGCGAGTCATATTTCTGGCTGAACAGGGTTTGCGCCTATGCTTTGCGCGCGTAGGCTGTGGCGATGCATCGAGCGCTTGGCGAGGGGCAGAATGTGCGAGTCTTGCAATTACTCACCAATGCGCAAGGCCTGGATCCGCCAAACTTCCACAGTGATTGGTTTGTTGAAGCTCTGGAAGCCAGAAATACTTGGGAACTGACGGAAATTTGTGCTCAACTTTGTTTCTCGCTGATCACTGTCCAGAACATCACCATCGTGCGGGCGCGCGACGATCCAGACAGGAGCGTTTCCGGCGTAGGCCAAATAGTTACTGGCATGACCGGCGCCTTTCGATCTGTCCAAGGAGAGGCGGAGCTCTGCGAGGATGAATTTTGTCGCTAGCCTTTTCGAGATCTCCCTGCTGCAGGACCTGATCACATACCCTCAACGGAGGTGCTCTTAGTCGGGTCTCGCCAGCATCGCTGGCACCGGTAACCGACGCGATGTGCAAACCAGATTCGCCAAAAATTGTGCCAGGTCTTTGGGGGGTTGATATGAAAGCCCCAGCTGGAACAGCAGCCACCACTACTTTGCGATCCCGAGCTATAACCGGGTTCGCAAAACACACCCAGTATGCTGCACATCAGATTCGCATTCCTCGGCTGGATGTGTCTTGCGTGCAATCGCCCTCGTGACAACTACGGGCCCCTGGGCACGATGAAACCTTGTGCATGATATGCGGCCCCCCCCCGCCGCCCCAGTCAAAATACAATGCAAAGTGCTTGCGCCTCTCCCCGATCAGAACCCAAGATTTTGCCCCAAAGTGGGCTGCGCATTGTTTTTTGACAGTGATGGTGGTGGGGGGGGGTCCTCATTGGTCCTGGTTGGCTGCCGGGCGCCTGGGGGAGGGGGTGAGTGATAAACCCGTGCCCGAAGGGGACAACGGGAAAGTGGTAAAGAGAACGCCCAAAGCCGCCTAATTACGCCCAGAGGGCTGGTGGGATTCAGGATGCTGGGCCGCGCTTCGTCGATTTTCCCAAGTGAGCTGCAACCTAAACAGATGTTGGGCCCACCGTCGAAGCTTTCTACGCCTTTTTCCGAAGTCACGGAGGGCTTCGCAAAAGGCCAGCTGGTTTCTGGGAAGCTCCGCTGCCTTCTGAGAAGGCCACCCCCTTCTCGCTCCCCCCCTCGGCGCGCCGCCGAGAAGAGAAGACGGCACACGCATCAACGTTCGAAAGTCCGCGCAGACGCAGACCGCGCCCCAGTCCGCGGCGGTGCGTTTTTT